TTATTTTCTTGCAAAATACGGTTGTTCGCTCTTGAAATTAGTATAGATATCAGTAATATGTCCAAAAGCACTGAATGATATTTGATATTGATTGCAGTAACATTTTCAAGGTAATCCATCCGAATGAATTTCGTTCTTCGTTCACCATGCTTAGGAGGATTTCAGACATAGTCAATTCCCGGCCAATGATGAATCCCCCAGCTCTAACACCATACGCTGGCAGTAGGGTTCAATCTTTTACACAATTTCCTATGTAGGAACTTATATGCGATATTAAGGGGTCTTTTCAAAAGGATTGTGAAGCCCACAATTATATTGCCACACTTCTCAAAGAGAACAGTGCGTACAATAGCAACTGCAATTTGGACTTCATTATGGTTAACATGATCAATTAGGGAATTAGACGCAGAGGGTTTCATCCTCACTGTAGCTTATTGTGCTGGAGAAGTGTTTCTTCCATCAACTTAATACACTAAGGGCATCGGTCACCAAATCACCTCCTTGAGTCCTATGCGAGCATATTTAGGTCTTAAAATCTTCTGTAGGTCGCAGCTTCCTCTGACAGAAATCTCAAGCATTTCGGTATCTTACTTTTTTTTTGTCCAAAATTTTCGGTATCTCTTCCACGCCGGGCAATGTTTGTTTACGAACGGTCGATGTATTTTTATGAAGAGCTTTTATTTCCTGTCAGAAGTACACTCAGAAGGCTTGACATTCCCTGCCGAGCGGCAAAGATTGATTGGAAATATTGATTGGAATAATTTTGGATGATTGTCAGACCAGGACTCGAGCCATTGTGGTCATCGTTCTCTTATACAGAGTCATTAATGTAAGATCTCAGAGAGCAGAGCGAAGTAATTTACACCTCTTCGTCAACCAACTTCCTTGGGTTTGTTAACGAGTGTTCTTAGTTACAGAAAGATGAGTGTGTATTTTTTCTGTGATTAGATAGCGGTTCGAGTCGACCTTAGAACCTCGGAGTGTACGTAGCTTTTGAACATTGAAGATATGTCTTCCATCTAGCACAACATGGTCGATTTAGGGTCGACTTAATCCGGAGATAGTCATGCAGTTTGATGTAGTCTCATATGTCGATATTTGTTGCTACATTTAAGTATATTTTGGGGCCCAGGGAAAACGAACAGCCTTACTCGATTGCAACATCTCTTCAGAGATAACGGGGTAATTTCTGGATGAGTAATTAATGTTGAAGTCGCCAAGTACGATTTTGACATCCAGGCGAGGACAGCGCCTAAATGTGTGCTCAGCTACTCATAGAAAATACCGCTGAAGAAATCTTTATATTCTTCCGATAAGCGATGTTCATCCACCAGTGTTAAATAGGATTTGGTCATTAAGCATCTGAATCCCATATGAAAAATATATATCTTTTTTTATTCTGTTCTCTCGAAAAGTTACCGACCCTTTGACTTGAAATTTTCGGAAAGTAGACCAGATACAAACTTATCATAAACAATTTGATTCAATAACAGAAAGATTGCTCTTTTCAGCAAAAAGGCGGCCAAGGTCCGCACTGTTCAGATAAATCGAAGTTTTTGTTTGCTTTACTTGAAATTCGGTACAGACTCCTAGATGGTTTTTTTGGGAAAAAAATCTATGGGTACAATTTTCACTCTTTTCGCTTAAAATTGTTTTTTACGGGATCTATTAGATATGCTGAAGTATTTATGTTAATTTTGGTTAATGGATTATGTGCTTAAATGGAATACTTTTGATTACTGGACATAGACTAGAGATCTGGACGATTTCCTCTCGTTGAAACCGTGAAATGTAACGTTTGTTGAGCATCGGTGGTATTTATTTATTAGTTTCTTCATATAATTTATCCTACAATGTCTTAATTAATATATTTATTTTTATTTTATTTTTAAGTAATAAAATAAAATATATTAGTCAATGAAAAGCTAAACAAATCTGGCAGACAAATTTCTTCTGTTTCCCGCGTAAATACTTGTCAGTATAAAATCTGTGTCGTAAATAAAATATAAAAAAAAACAAAAAGTACGAGCTTACACGTGTTAACAAATTAGCGATCTTTTTTACCGTTTTTATATTTTTCACTTTATTTTTTCTTTAACATATTTGATTATTGTCAATTTAAGAATGAAATACACACCTCATGTCTCATAATTTTTAATTTTTTTTGTTTTGCAAATTTAATAAAAAAAAAAAAAACGAAAAATTCTATTCACTGAAAAAACATGACCAAATAGCGTACTTATTTGGCGATAAGAATAATTCATACTCATATTAGCATTGACATTTGCATAAAACAACTTGGCACCGTGGAAAAAATAGCCTTAAGAGACATGGCAGTAAATGGCGCCCGAAAATACAAATTTGGTGGTAATGAAACTGGCTTTACTAATTTTAGTGTGATTAGTGTGATTGGTGTGATAATAAAAAATGTTTTATTATAGCTGATTGACGGATAATTATTTTATTTCGTGTGTGTGCTTAAATGAAATATAGCCTTTGTTTTAAATAGCTGATAATTGACGTTAAATAGCATTATTATTTGTGTTCAATTGACTTTTACGTAGCAGGAACATTTTTTTTTTAATTTTTTTTTGTAGTTTCATAATAAAAAAAATTTCATAAGGAGAAATTATTTCATTCTTTTCTTCAGCTTCAAATTTATAGAAATTGAATTTTTGCGTATGATCAAGTATTTATGAATATTTCTTTATACTTTTTGAGTGTATACTTCTAATGAAAATATATCTGAATTGTTAGATATTTATTAATTAATCGTTAAATATTCGGTCATTGACTTTAGAATATTTAAAATCGAAGTAATGCAATAATAAATTTTTCACCCACACATGTCGAACGCGGCCCATTTGCCTTGCCTGAATTCGGTCAGTTACTGCCTTACGTTGCGTATGCGTAAAATATTATATTTATAAATTTTTCATGGCGTATTTTTGAAAACGTAAATACTCTAACTGCAAAATAAAACACCTGCGCAATTTGAAAATTGATTTTAATTTGTAATCAAAATTTTAATGCTTTTTTTTTTTAGAAAAAACCAGTTATCATTTCGAGTATTTAAACAATATGCCAAATTTGTAAGGCACTTAAAAAGAAACAAGTTACAAAATATTAAATATAATACAATATATGTTAAATTGGGTGTGAAATTTTAATAGATCATGCTTTTCAAAACATATACAATTGCAATTATTTTTCAGTGCGACTTCAAATGCCAGATATTACAAAAATTTACGAGCACTGTCTTAGAAAGCTTTAGATGTTTTGTTTATTTTTCCTTACGGATATCAATGGCGGCAGCGTTAGCTGACTGGTTAGAGTTGCATACAAACATTCGACAGGCCAGGGTTCAAATCAACATCCAAAAATTATAGAAAATTTATTTAAATAAAAAATTAAGTTAAATTTCCTAATTGCGGTCGCCCCTCGGCAGGGAAATATGATATGATGGAATAAAGCTCCTTTAAAAGCTTAGTATAAACTGTTGGTCCCTCTATTTGTTGGAAAAACATCAAAACGCAAAACCACAAATTGGAGGAGGAGCTCGACTGAAAAAATCGCTTCAGCGGTTGCAAAGCGTCATTTATATATGTATATAGATATTTAAATATCTAAAATTAGTAAATTACCAAATCGTTCAATTGGATTATCAAAGTGTAATGTAAAGAAAATATTAAAATATCGAATATTAAAAATATTTTCTTTGATCAGATATATGTAAGCACCAGAAAGAGAAGAGATAGAACCATTAAAACTTATATCGCTCGGCTCAGAATGAAGTGTTAAGCTGATTTAGTCATGCCTGTCTATCTGCCTGTCCGTCTGCTTCTACGCAAACTGTTCTTCCAATTGTCGAGATATTTCACTGATTTGAGATGGTATCCTCCTGCTAGATCTCCTCTTCATTCACGAAACTATCGAACTCTAAATTTTGTAGGATAAAGTCTGATTTATTTAGTGATTTTGCTTAAGATATCGTTGCGCGCATAACTCTTTTGGCTCTATCTGATCAGAATGGAAAAAAAATATATAAAATCTTTATTTTACTATTGAGGATCAATATCAACAGAAACTACTGATGACATTATGATAATGTCTAACATATTCAACCTTGTATGCAAAAATGAAAAAATTTTAAATTCCCAAACTAAATAAATATACAGAACAAACGTCAGTGAAAGTTCTTCCCGTTCGTTCTTTGTTATATAATAAAAATGAAATCAAAATAAATTCTAACTTTTGATTACTTTTACGGTTTTCTGTCAGTAATCGAGTTAGACAAAAGCGCAGATAATAACACTTGTTTGGCAAAGACTGGCACACAATAACTAATTAGGCTAATCATCGGAAATTTGTTGAGTTGAAATGCATGAAATAAAACAAAAGCATTTATTATCGTTATTTAATCAGTAGGAAAGCAACAAAATCTGGTAGTCAAACAAGTTGTGTATTTGAATGAGACTGTAAAAAAAGGAGCTAAATAGTACTACTGAATATATTAAAGTTAGATTTTTAGTCAAAACTAAAATAACTGAATTTTATTGATATAGGAAAAAATGCTCATAAAGGTATCGTAATAAAGATCGCCTTTCAGTGATTTTTTATATTTATTTCCCACAATCCGATGTAGGAACTCCGAAGCGGGAAACTTTGAGTCTACTTCAAGGTGTTATGATGAACAATAACGTGAAATCCTTCCATAATAAATTCATCGATTAGCGATTGCAAGTATTATTTCTAGAGTTTTCAGAGAAAGCCAAAGACTTATCGATGACGTTAATTTTTGTTGTTTGTTATTTTATATCATTTTTTTCAAGTACTAATGATATCGGGCCAGATAAATTAAAAATAAATTAAAACAATTATATTAAACTTGTACTATTTTTCTTATTCACAGACTAGTATTTGTAGTTTCTGCTATTATTAATATTATTGGTGAATTAAATAATTTAATTATTTTTCTTGCATAAATTTCCTTAACATAGATGAGCGCGGCATCGTTATGGGTGAATTTGGTTTCATAACCGCCGATGGTATTTACCACGTGACGGTGTATGCAACTGATGAGGAGGGCAAATTTCGTATATTAGCCATGCGCAGTTATCCCTACGAGGACCATCCAAGTATGATTACAAAAAAAAAAATCTCTATTATATGTCTGACCACTTTGTGATTAAAAAAAATTGATTTAAAATTTCCATAGAAACCATCGAAATGGTTGTGCGCCCAAAAGCCAAAGCAACAACGCCAAAAGCCATAGCACCACCCAGCACTACGACAACGACAACAACCACTGAGCGCGCGAAGCCGAAACCCTTCGAGAAACACAATTTCAGCGTACAAGGTTGTTCAGGTTGTTTTCTTAAAAATGACGCACCAACAACCACCACGACAACAACACAAAAACCGGAAGATAAAAAATATGATATTAATCTCTTATCGCGACCACTCCCACCAGAGGAGGCACCACGTATTGGTAAGCAAATAATATCACAAGTTCTACCACAATTACTGCAAGAAGTGCAACAAGCTGAGACGAAAATGAAGGAAACAGCGGACAGAGTGCCACCCCGAGTGGCAGAGGCAATAGGTTTAGATATTGATTTGAGAATAACAGCGGATAGTACACAACATAAGCAACAAGCTATACAAAAAACACATACAACACCAACAAAAGCACAACAAGTAAATGCAGCGAAAGCACTAACTTCATTACAAAAGTCACAGCAGGCTGCACACGAAGTGAAAGCTCAGTCAAACCTTCAGCAAGCACAACAGGGTACACAAATAGTAAAAGCTCAGTCAGCACTTCAGCAAGCACAACAGGGTACACAAATAGTAAAAGCTCCAGCGACACTACAAACAGCACAACAGATACCAATTAAACCACAGCAACAAGCAACACAAAGCTCAGTGAAAGCTCAGGCTACACAAGTCACAAAACAGAACACATCATTCCAACCACAAGTCACACAAATCCAAACACAACACTTGAAACCTAACCCAATTGAAACACTTAGCACAAACGCAAGCCAATTGAGCCCTCTATTTTTAACACTGCAAAATGCAAGTAAGTTTTCAAAGCACTTGGGTTCTCTTTGGGTTTTTTTCAGAAATATTTCCGTTTTATTATTTATTTCATTTTAAATTCAATTGTATTGCTATAATTTGGCATATTCTTGTAGGTGGCACACCGCCCAGCAATACCATCAACAACAACTCAGCTAAGACACCCACCACAAGCACTTTCGGCAGTGGAAGCGCACCAAAAACGCCAATCAAGACCGGTTCAAACGGTAATATAAGTTAACATTTACTCGTATATAAAATACAGAAAATTACTATAAAATTCTATTATTCTACGTTTCTAAACTCAGCACCATCAAAATCGGGCAACAATCAGCCCTCTGCTGGCAAAACGGGTACAACAACTGGTATTTCAACCCCTAAAAACCAGCTAGCGGCACCAAAGCTGTCACCCAGCGCCGGCATTGGTGGTGGAAGCGGCTCAAGCGCATCAACAGGCGGTGCAGGCCGACCAAACGCGAACGCAGGATTCGCTGGTGGTGTAAGCGGTGGAAATAACAACGCTGGTGGAAGTGTTGGTGGTGGAGTTAACAATCGTGTAGGAAATAGCGGCAACACTGCAAGTGGCAATAAAATTGGTGGCAACACCGGTGCAGGCGCAAGCAGCGCTGCCGGCGAGGCAGGCGATTTGTACCGTTTTAAATATCTACTCGACTACAATGGACATCGTGAGACTGGCGCGCGTAATGGCAATAAGGAAGGTAGCTTCTACGCTATTGGCGATGATAATGTGGAGCGCACCATTGAGTATATCGCCAATGAGTTTGGCTATCAGCCGCGTGTACGTTTTCGCAAATTGGATGCGCCGGTGCAGGCGAAGGAGAATACGTTGAAGGATTATGAGTTCGTGTGGTTCAAAAAGGAGTAAAGGAGTAAAGGTGGAATAAGTGTATATGTGTATAAGTTAAAAATGTGAATTTTTATTTTTGTTTTTTGCTAATATTTTTTCTAATTTATTTGTTGAAAATGCAATGCTGCCGAAATGATGTGTGTATGTGTGCAACAAACACAGAGAATAAATACTCAATAAAAAATATGTGAAGAAAATTTGTGAATTTCGAATATTGAAATCATTTTATTTGTATTCTCATTTTATATATATTTATTTATATATTATTTTTTTTTTATAATTAATTTTATTTTATAATTTATTTTGCTTACTTAATCACACAGAATTTTCAAATTACATACAATTATTTGCAATCAATGAGATTTTACACATTTATATGTATGTTTATTGATTTATTATGTTTTTTTATAATAAATGTGAGAAGTACCGTTAAATTATTTATACACATCGAGATGAATTTAAAATTACATTTTTTTCTTAAATAAATTGTTTATTTATTTGCTTTGTAAATACATAAATTTAGAGATATATATATTTTTTTTTTTAATTTTATTTTATTTGATTTCATTTCTTCCTTGACTGCATGCCGAAATAACGTTGAGATTTTTTTGTGGTAGACATACGCCTATTTCATATTTATTTTACACATTTATAACATTTTTAAATTTTTCAATTTGTATTTGGTTTTGCTTTTTGTGAGTATGCGATTTATTACTTTCAACACTGACAAATACAAGGTAATTAGTTTTAATGCAATTTTTTGCGTTTGATATTTTAAAAATGTCTTAATAAATTCTTGCTTCTTATTAACTGTCCAATTTACAAACACATACACGCACACAGATGTCGATATTTCGATTTCGTGCTTCATTTTTATGAGAGATATTTATTTGTATCATTTATCATACATCGAGATATGAACAAACATTAAATACATCCAGAAATTCTAATATTTTATTTGACTTGATTTTTTTTTATTTTTTTCTACTAGCTTACAGTTAGTTAGTGCATTACATATTAACTTAAAATACATGTTTTCAATTTATTTTTTATTTATTTATTTCTAACTTAAGTTTTTATGTTATTAAAATCAATAAAATACATATTTAAAGAGTTGTTTTTTTATATATATAAACTGTACATATTCATCTATCACAGTCCACCATTTTAAGACAAACATGAAAATACTGCATACATATATATCTACAATCTATAATATTATATAATATAAATTATTTCTATGCATTCTTTCGCCTAATTGAAACTACCAACACACACAAAGAAACATAACCAAGTGAGTTGAAAAGGGAACAAAAAAAATATAATTTTTGTCCTTTTATTTAAAAAAAAATGGTTGTTAAAAAAAAATTACAAATCCTTGTGTGTTGCTTTTTTTGGTTTATTTTAAGATATTATTTATGCCATCCCAGACAATTTTCAAATATGTAACTTTTAATTTCAAGAAAGGACTTAAAATTTACTTCCTAAACATAACACAATTTATATCGAAAAAAGCGCAAAATTTGCTCCAAATATTTTGGAAAATAAAAAAAAACAGAAGCATTCGCAATTAAGTGGTTATCAGAGCGATTTTCTTGCGAAATTTTGAAAATCATAGAAAAACGCTAAAATATAATTTTGATTACGTCTACAATATAAAATGAAATAATATATACCAATATAAAATTAAAAGTAAAGCTACGTGCAAATTAAAGGAGAAAAAATATTATAAAATAATAAAAAGAATATAAAAAAGATTGAAATAAAATAAAAAAGAAAAAATAAAAATAAATAAAAAGGAAATAAAATAAAATAAGAAAACTATATAAAACAAGAGCCAAAGTAAGCCAATGTAAAATTAAAAAGAAAAAAAGGACAATATTAATATAAAATAAAATGAAATAGTAGAATAAATTAAAATAAATTTTTTAAAATGTAATGTGTAATGTAAAAATAAAAGAATATAAATAGAATTAAAATAAAATAAAGTAGAATAAATTAAATTAATTTATTAAAATATAATTAAAGGAAATCAAATAAAATAAGAGAATAATATAAAATTAAAAGTGGAACTAAATGAAATTGAAAATAGAAAAAGAAAAAAAATTATATAAAATAAAATTAATAAAATAATAATTAATAAAATTAATTTAAGTAAAATAGAAAATATTAAAATAAATTCATTAAAATGTCATTAATAGAAATAAAATAAATTAACAGCACAAATTCAAAATTAAAACAAATAAAATTTGCTTGCTTCATATCTGTGACTCCTTACTTCAAAAATATACCACGGCATTTGCAATGCATTTAACTCGCATAAAAATAAAAAAAAAATTATCAAAAATGCATTCAAATTTAAAATTTTATTTTAAGCCGGAGTAAAAAAGAATCAAAATATTTTTACAGATTTTTAAAAATACTAAAATCGGATTTTACATTAAGTTAAAACAAGCGAAACAGCATTATTTTCCTCCAAAATTAACCAAATAACAAAATAAAAGAACGCACAATTCACATATTGTATCAATTACTTACATACGTACATACATGCACACATACATACATACATATATACAAAGTTTAGTTCATACTTTACATCAATTTTAAATTAAAAACTAACTATATATTAATTATTTGTATTTAAAAAGCGTTTCAATACGCTAAAATCTTGCTACAACTATGTATGTATGCTTTAACTATTTATTTCTTTTCCTTTTCTTTGTAACTAATTTATAATTAATAAAATACAACACACTTGAAATTGTGCTTGACACATACATACGAATTTTGATATTGCTATATTGCTGAAAATACACGGCGCATTCATACATATCTACATATACAATACGTACTGAAAATGTATGCGATAATTTATTTATTAATTTACAATTTTCGAAAAATAGATTTTAAAGTTATTTTAGAAATTCAAGACGAATTTGTTAAAACTCTGAATTTATTTGTATCTTATTTTGAAACATTTTTATGATTTTCTTAAATCACTATGCTAGGCTATACGAAACGTCTAAAATTTATAAAAAGATTTAAATTTTTTTTACAGGCCAAAAAACAAATAGATTTTGGTAACTCTTGATTTATTTCTAATTTTTACAACATAACTAAAGTGTTTGTATATTTTTGCACACATACATTTGTGTAGAGAAACATTTACACATACAACGATGAATTTTAACATTAACCGCAATTTCTGCTCCCTTTACTTTCTTATAATATTTTTCCTTGCTTTCTTTATTTTACATTTTTCGTTATTCTCTAATCTAACCATGAACAGTTATTTTTGTTTTTGTACTCAAAATTAATGTAAAATGGTGTAACGGCATTGGAGCTCAAATTTTTTTATTTACATACAAACAAACCGCTGTGTGTGTGTGTATTTGCCTATTTGGGGGTTGATTGGTAGGTAGATTTGCTTGCCTCCACTTGGTTTTGGTATACGAGCACTGTTGTTATTGTAGCGCTTATTTATAGCTACGACGGTTGTCAGGCTCTGCACTCACTGCACTCACTGTAGACTCGCCTTATCGTTAAGCAAAACCATCCATATTGAACTGGCATCATTTCAATATCGTCGGCAAGCCTGTATTCATTAATCGATTACCAACAACAAGGGAGTTGATATTACCACCACCCATGCCCATGCCCATGCCAACACCCACACCAACGCCCACGCCCACACTGATGCCGCCCAAACTGCCGAATCCACCGCTCGCGCCAACGCCATGTGTGGGGGCGGCCGTCAGTGTCGCTGTTGCTAGATTCAAATTATTGTTGCCACCACTACCAATGCCACCAATTAAGCTTCCATTGTGATGGGGATGATGATGATGGTGATGATGATTTGTGGCGCTGCCACTTGAGCTGCTGCTACTGCCACCGCCACCACTGCCACCGAAGGCGGCGAGACTACCAGCGCCACTGCCGAATGCACTCAGGCCACCGCCATTGCCGCCACAACCCGTCGACATGCCCATAGCTGTGAGACCCAAACTTGTATGTAAGCCATCGCTGCCGCCAACACCAGCACCACCAATTAGACTGCTACTACCGCTGCCACCGCCAATACCAATACCGCCACCACTACTACTGCCACTGCCATTAATACTGCCGCCGCCACCACCGTTACTATGACTGCTGCTGCCCACTGAGGTGAGACAATGCAAGGTGGCTGCGGCGTTGATGGCAGCCGCACTGCTACTACTGCTGCCACTGCCACTGCTGAGACCAACGCTAACGCCACCGCCACCACTACCACCACCACCACCACCACCACCACTGAGACCACTTCCACTTCTACTACTACTCATTGCGCCAACACTACTGGCGGCGGCGGCTGCGTGCGCGGCATGAGCAGCATGTGCGCTACTGCCGCTGACGATGGCGTTGCTCTCATATTAGAAGCCACCGCCGGACGATGATGGTCATGCATAGTGCGGATAGGAGCTGAGATGAGGCGCAACATGCGATGGCGTCACATGGCCCATCGAGTGTGGCTGGTAGAGATTCGTGGCCGGGTTGCCCCAATTGCCCCACGAGGCGGCCGATGGGAATATCGATGCTAAAAAACGAACAGAGAAGAGAGAAAAAAAGGAAAATTGCAAAAATGAAATTATTGGAATTATTGAGCGTTGATTGTAAAAATTATAAAAACCGTTATTTTAATGAGATAATAAAAACTTGTCAATAACAAAAGCAATAAAACAAAGGCATAAACGATAGGAAGTTTCAAACGAAAAGTGTGCGAAAGTGGAAAAAAGTAATAACTATAAAATACCTGATGACGATGTCATACCATGATGTGGGCTCATGAACGAGCTCAGCTTGGCGCTATGATGATATGGTGTCATGAACAAGTCGCTCTGATATTTGTAGGTGGGATCGCTGGCGGCGGGTTGTGTGGCGGCGGCCAAGCCTTGAAAGTCAAATTTGTACGCATAACGTTTGCCATGCACTTTGGTCATTATATTCTTGTCATAGTAATATCTGTGGAAGAAAAAGAATATATTTTAAAAAAATATATAATACAAAATATGTAAGCAATTTTTTTTATATATTATAATAATATTTGTGAAAATACATATTTTATATGTATGCTGAAACTTTGTGCTATAAATAATTAAATTAATAGCGTAATAATACTGGTTTGACATATGTTTGTTTGTAAGCATGTACGTGTGACTTTGTTTAAATAAATTCATAATCGTTTAGCAAATTAAAACAGCAGTCAAATATCAAACATTTTTATTCAAAATAGTCTTAAATACTGTATATGCTGTGACTTAATTAGTTCAAACGCTAACGAGGCTTAGCAAATTCGAATTATTCACATAAAATATGAATTTATTGCTACAGGAAATTTTGATGCTGGCGATGGGACAATGAGCCAACTCGGCCTGTATATTACCAGCTTTTTATTTCATGTTCAGGAAATGCGCACTTTCCACTATCCGGTCGCAGACACGATACGCACCCATATCTTTGGAGCAAAACACGTCCCTCAACAGACACAAGGAAATTTCGACGTCAAGAAGCTACAATCACAACAGTCCACAAAAGGTTTTTGTTGTTCCTTGACGTAAACCTGTCAAGGTCGAGAGAAGAGCTGGTACGATGAAATTACAAATTCCCAAATAGAGAGAAGCACGACAAACAATTCATTGCTTGAAGAACAACAAGCAAAATAAATTCAGAGAATCAAGAGATAACGATTGTGCTGACTCGGTCATTTTGTCCCGACCCATGAGCGCACTTAACCCGTGAAAATATTCAAATGTCTGCTCCCTGTTGGAAGCAGAGAAAGAGAAAGATCTCCACACGACTGAGAGCACTATTTCGATTCCCCAGAAGCTAAACATTGCACGAAATCAACTTGGAACCACTTTCAAACGGCTGGATACACGAACAAGCTCGATGTGTGTCACATGAGTTGAAGAGAAAAAACTCCATAACCGAGTTTCCATCTGCGAATCACTGCTGAATCGTAACAAAATCGACACATTCGTAGGGAGAATGATGACTGGTGATGGAGTGAGTGGTCAAACGCAACTAAGATTGAAGGACAGAAGGGTTTTTTATATGCTTGGTAGAATTGGCTAGGAATCATCCACCTTAAGCTGTTTCCCTAAAGCCAAACTCTTAAATCGGACTTGCATTCTTAACAATCGCTCAGAAGCGCCTAGGGAACTATGTTTGACCAAAACAAAGCCAGACCACATACATACGTAGTGACTCACCGGAACCTCCAAGAGCCTGGTTGGTAGGTTCTTATTGTTCGGATCTCGCAACAAGTTCTTCTCTATACAAGTTTACCCACATTCGGTGCGCTGGAACTTTTACGACTTTTTATTATCACTAAAAAATTTACGGTTTGTGACCCTTTGGCACGCTTACAAATCTACATATGACAGAAAACCTGCTCATGGGCAAAAAAAAAAACATTAAAACACACACAAAAAACAGCCTAAATTTTAATATATTTTTATTTATATGAATATATGTACATCTCCATATAGAAATGTTTAGCACGTGAAAAAATAAGAAAAATAGAAAGCTGCATTTGAATTAAGAATTAATTAACGCGAGCGTCTTCATTTGAATGACGTGTTAAGTGGCGCTCTCTTTTTCATATTCTTCTTTCTCTCTCAAATTGACAAACAAAAAACGTGTATTATGCGATAAACATAAATTGTTGCAGAAATTTACATAAACTTTTATGCATAAGCGCGATGCTTAGAGATATAAAAAATAAACGATCAAAGAAACATTATATGCATAACATGTGCCTCGCATGAAATTAGCACAATTTATTGCTTATTAATTATTCAAATTTGATAAACACTCACGCGCTGAAATATATTTATTTAATGTCTGAGAAAACGTTTGCTAAGATTTGATAAAATTTGCATAAATGTGTATTTTATAAAATAATTGTTCTTAAGCTTAAATTGAGGAATTTAGTTAATCTCTACAATATCTTGAGAATAATATCCTAGGTGAGCGCCTAATAGCAGGTAGGATCAGCGCAAACTTCAAACCTTTTTTCTCGAACCTGTGTTGTGTCAAGAGTTTGTGGAAACTATTAAAAAAATATAATTATGCAAATTTAAATAAAATTTTATTTATTATAATTTTTTTTTTGTAAAATAAAATCAGCCAAAACTTTTTTTTTTATTATGTTTAATGGATTCCCTATAGCATAAAATTCAATATTTAGTTGGGTCCTTTCAGACCCATGTACCCTTTAAGGTACAATATCCCTCTAATGAGCAACGTGCATACGGCAAACCCCTAATGGGTTACTAAAGTAAAACAAACAAAAATAAAAAAATGTAATGATTAAGTTTTACAATTTTTAAGTTTACAATATTCATTTTATTGAATTGAATTAAAGAAAAATACCATCACTAGTTATTTATTTGCAACCTCACAAGAATATCTAGTTTTAAGTATTGTAAAAACCATAGTATTCAATATTAAAATTTATTATATGCATTGAACTATTTTACATTTTATTCCATTTGTTGCAATTCTCTAATATTGCAAGGCTGGCGGCAATGTTAAAGCCAAAGCTTTAAATATTTGAGAGCCACTGGAATTTTTAATTACTAACATTACTAACACTGAAGTCGGAAAACTACCGGTGATGCTTATTATCATATTTTGATGGTATTTAAGTTAATGTTCGGCTAAAAGCGGGCTCACTTTTCTAAAGCCGGCTACAGCAGCGGACCTTAGCTAAATTAGCGATCGAAGCAAACAAGCGAACTTTACATAGAGGTAATTTTTCATAATTCTTATTTTCAGCCATATTTAAATATATTATATACATATAAACATATCAATAATCACAATTTTGAAATATTGTCTATACACATGCATATACCTTCATCTATGTATGTGTTGGTAATCAACCCCTAATTGTGAGTTTTAAATGATTTATTTCAAAAAAATCGTCTTTAATTTGAAAATACTAATACTTTGTTTTCTCTTTAATTTTTTCCTGTGAGGTAAATCTGCGTTCGCGAGAGTTCATATTTTAAAATATAAACAATTATCATCCATCATAATTCTTTATTCTGGTATTAAATAAAGCGTAATTTGTTTCTGTTTGGTCTTATAAATAACCTTGAGCCAAAACAGCACCAGCGAAACACTTTTGCAAATGTGGCGATTTTTTTATTTTAAGGGAAAAAGTTAAGAATATTTTCTTTTGAAAATTTCATAAATTATTACATAAATGTATGTCTATAATATATAGTAAATAGTTTGATTGAAATATTTTATTTTCTACATAAAAAAAGAAATTGTTTAAAATGGACTTTTCTTAACCTTTACATCGAAAAAACTCAAATAACTCCTTACCGTCACTTAGAGCGCCGAACAAAATTTGTTTCTAATTATATACTAAATACATTCACATATTTGTTTCAATTAGTCTAAATTAATATTTTATTCAAAAACTGCAAAAAATTAACGAATTATAATAACAACCAGAAATTATCGAAGAGTTTCCATATGGGACTTTGGTATCACTGTTTCAACAACAATAGTGTGGATAAGAGTTTTAGTACTGCGCTGACTTTAGCTGCCACCAACTGTCTTTTGCTTAAAGCAGGGAAAAGGCAAATACCACTCTGCTTCGATCGCACAGCAGGCAGAAAATCGTCTACTCTTCCTCCATGTAATTTCTATAGTTTCTTTACCGTTTTCTAAGAGATCATCAATTTTTTTTTTTGTATACCACTCTACAAGCCCAGCTCCCGTCTAAATCACATTTACCTTTGAAATTCCTTCATTTTTTATAAAATATACGGGTTTTCCTTTCCCATTTGAATTGACCTCCGACTGAACTAGTTTTTTTTCGGTCGTTCTATACAGGACTATGCGTTCTTTATCCGATGTAAGAGTTTATCATTGCTAAGTCTATGTCTTTGATAACTTTAAATTGCCACTTTAGATGAACATTCCACTTCTTAAATATTCGAATCTCATTCCGATGTATTTAACAACTGCGATCAAGCGGAAACTTCAGATTCATATGAGAGCTCCAATGAAATGTTCTTCCAGCTTGAAAGTTCGTTCATACCCTTGCCCTGAAAAAAGTTTTGATTACGATAAAAGGGTCTATTAAGTCGAAAACTCCATCTTTACAGTTAGGTTTTTGGTGAAAAAAGCAAGAAATCTTTCTGGGCTTGGCGCTACTATTTTCACATTTTTAAAATGACTAATTCTCGTGCGGTGGGTCTACATCGTTACAAAATAAGTTACAACTGATCATATGTGGCTGACGATCATGGTTTATTGCCTC